ATGTATGTAATTATAATCTCAATTGTTATCGGCACAAACAACCTGAGAAAGGTGAGAGTTAATGTCACTGCGTTTTTTCTCCTTCTAGAAGAAAGAGCTAACTAAATCTTAAGGAAAGCTATATCCTTTTTCAGCCCCCATTTCCTGTTTAGGGAGTAACATTGCTTTTTAAACTAAAAACTATCCAAGCAAACAACCAATTGGTTACAAAAATATCTCTGCTTGTGTGATATTGTGCTGGCCTAGAGCCAGAACCTGAGCAAAACTGTTTTTTAAATAAGTTGAAATGGCTGCCCCATTCTCCTCACAATAACTACTGTCCTTGGCCTCTGTAAATAGAACTGCTAGTTTGTTCTGCAAAACTATGTAAAGCTGCTTACCTTTTCTTATCAGTAACTGCTAAAATCTGTGACTTCTATCACCACCCAGATGATGTGTAAACAAATGTATATCTTGACTTCTGTAAACCACTGAAGTAACAAACAGAATGACAAAAGTCCCCTGGCCCTTGGAATGTCCGGAGACCCCCGCCCTTGTCTCCACCCAGGAGGTGAATCACAGAATCCCCTAGCCCTTGGAATGTCCGAAACCTTTTCATCCCCATCCCCGCCCCTCACCCCCACTCCCAAGGTGGTTTCTCGGGTATAAAAAATCGTGGCACCCTCCTTTTGGCACCACAGGTTGGAGAGACATGAGTCCTCTGTGGTCGCCGGCATAATAAATGACCCTACAATCTGGCATACTTTTGTCTTGGTGATAACTTTCTACACTCGATCCAATACAACACTTGTTTTATTTTGAAATTTTATTTTATTTTATTTTTTCCACCGTGTCACCCATGCTAGAGTGCAGTGACATGACCATAGCTCACTGCAGCCCTCCATGCTCAAGTGATCATCCTCCCTTAGCCTCCCGAGTAGCTGGGACTATGGGTGTACACCACCATATCTGGCTAATTTTCAAAACTGTTGAAGAGATGGAGTCTTGCCATGTTGCCCAGGCTGGTCTCAAACTCCTGGGCTCAAGCAATCCTCCCACTTCAGCCTCACAAAGTGCTGGGATTACTATTTTGAGGTATAATTGATGTACCATAGGCTGTACATATTTAAAATGTACAATTTGTTAAGTTTTAACACCCATAACCACAATTGAGATAATAAACATATATATCACCCCAAAAAGTTTCCTCATGTCTCTTTGTTAATGGTGGAGGGTTTCCAGGTTCTTGGCATCTTGAACAAACAACTGGACAGAATGCACAAAGAAAGGAAGGAATGAAGGGTTTCATTGGAAATGAAAGTACACTCCACAGTATGTGAGCAGGCCTGAGCACAGGGGCTCAGAGTCCCTATTATAGATTTATTGGGAGTTTAAATACCCTCTACTTAGGGTACGCCTTATGTAAATGAAGAGGATGAAGTGAAAGTACAAGGTCATTTACTTGGCTTATGCCCTGTGGAGAGGCTATTTCCTGTCATAGCTGATGTGTGAATTGGTCTTCTGTTCCCTGCCTCCAGACCCTATTTTCCTGCTTTGTCTCCCCATTGAGAGATGTGATCCCCATAAATCTTTATGGGAGGCAGAGGGACTGATAGTCTTCTATCTCTAACTACTTCATTCTGGCTTAGGGCGTAGTCCCCACCTATTGGAGATCACAGGATTTGCCCTGCTCTGTCTAGTGGGGGCAAGGTAGCTTCTTGATGGCCCGGGGTGGTGTCTTCACCTGAAACTGTCTGGAACCTTTGTTGCATCATCATCTGAGGCTTGATGGTCTACAGACAAGAGGAAATGAATTTAAAAGATTTAATGGGGACTTTAGGGAGTGGATAACTACGCCATCAGAGATATTTGTTGTAGAGGTTTGCTGGAGAAAACAAAACGTGATCTGTTCTAGAATATGTTTACTTAAAGTCTTAGCACAAGCAACTCCATTTTGGTTTGGTTTGGTTTGGTGGGGTCTAGTGCATGAGTTTAGTCCAAAACAATGGTGTTCCAAAATCTTGTGAAAAAAATTCCCCCTTTTTGATCAGGTTCTCACTTAGGTGAGAGCATGACCAAAACTTAGGGTCTTAGCACCACTCTCAGTTACCGTCATTTTGGGTTTCCGGTCTCAGTACATTCTTTATAGGTTATGGTGTTCTCATGTTTGCACAGTTCTTTGAGCTTTTGTCATTCCAGTTGAAGAGAGATCATTCGACATTCTAGAAGTGGCTGCGTGCAAACATTTAAAACCTTTGAGAGAATATAGTGCGCCAGGGAGACTATTATTCTAACTATTGGGAGGGTAGCACCAAGAGTTCAGAGTATGCTCCTAAACCCAAGGCCCCATAAACCAAACCTCCTAAAATCGAACAGATCAAAGAATGAGCCAAAGAGTTTACTCACTTAACTAAGCAATTTCTTCATTAATCTCCTACCACTGAGTTTCTATAGTCTTCATTTGATGTGTTTCTCCATAGGCCACAAGTGCCAGCAGCTACACAGGCACTTTTCTGTTTAGCCAATCCTATTATTTAACATAACTTTCACAAGAGAATTTAAAGTCTGTTGTGTAACGATAGACTTTATAGTAGAATTTGCTACAGAGCCTATCATGAGGGATTTATTTACTTATTTATTGAGACCGAATCTCGCTGTATCACCTAGGCTGGAGTGCAGTGGCATGGTCTTGGCTCACTGCAACCTCTGCCTCCCAAGTTCAAGTGATTCTCCTGCCTCAGTTTCCTGAGTAACTGGGATTACAGGTTCTTGACACCATGCCCAGCTAATTTTTGTATTTTTAGTAGAGACGGGGTTTCACTATGTTGGCCGTGCTATGTTGAACTCCTGACCTCAGGTGATCCGCCTCCCTCAGCTTCCTAAAGTGCTGTGATTACAGGCATGAGCCACCGTGCCCGGCCAGCAAGGGATACATTTCTAATCATTGCTTCTTTTACTTTAAACCATGGTAAAAGGACCTAACAAATGATGCCCTTCTAGAAGAGTGACAGGCTCCTGGCAATGTTCTCTTTAACCCATGATGTGGATTAGAGGAGTGAACCAATGTTTTGTTTTTGACTGATTATGAAGCAACACATGTACCTTTAAAGTTTCTTACCTACATTGGGCCTTTATCTTTTATCTATCAAATTACAGGTTATCCATGTATAAGGCTGCCTGCGAACTCCTTCGCAAATAAAAGTATACCCCATAAGTGCACATAACAGACCCCTTTTCCACTTTTATTGTTTGTAGAGGCATAAGCAAGAAAAATAATATTCAAAGACAAGAGTTTCATGATAGTAGAAGTCTTAATCTGTGAACTTGGGAAAAGCTGTTCACATCAAGGATGCCAT